AAGTATAATTGTTAAGGCCACAACTCTGGTACGCACTGCCTGGCCTTCATGGAACGTTGTCATATCAAATTTGTACAAATATTTTATGAGGAAGATGTGAAAAGGCTGGGCAGAATGCAAATTTATGTAACAGTCAATATTTAAAATCTAAAAGTGATAGCAAAAAGCTAATTGTATATTTGTTTTCAGCTGTGAAAAATACATATTGTATTAAAATTGCAGCTGGAAATACTGAAAATTAAAAAAAAATTTCAGACCAGTGTCTCTCCTTAAAGAGCTGAAAAATATATGGAGGCAAGAAGGACAGGTCGCAACAGCTTCCTCAATTCCATAAATGAAGCATCAACGCCAGCATTTTACCTTTGTTTACATATTCTTCTATTGACGTGACACTAGAAAATAATCACAGATTCAAGAGCACAAGCTGAAAAAACTGAAATGAGAAATTTAGCTGTGCTAGTCTTCAAATGTGAGTTATCAGCAATAAGTGCACAGCTGAGGACGTTTGCAATTGCATTGCTAATAATAATATACGTAAGAAAAATAACAATGAAAGGCACAACACAGCCCGGCAAGCCTCTACTCATGGCAGTTCTAGCCTAACCAGAGAAAGTCTTCAAGTCAGCCGAAATCGTTGCCAAGACAAACATGCATAAATTTACCTACGTAAGCAATGTTGATACTTGAAAGTCAGATATGCTGAGTGATATATGTAGAAGCAAGAGATGTCAAAATAGCGCATGTACCAATATGGAAGCTAAGGAATGCATTAGTTGATGTGAAGGACAAGTTGCGGAGCGGAAATTTTCTCGTTTATGTTTACGTCATAGGCTGCCACGATTGTGACAATCAGTACAGCAATAAAACCAGCGATTTCAAGAAAGGAGTTGAATAACACGAACATATCGTCATTAAACTGCGCATGGCTGCGAATGCTCTCGCTGAACATGTGGAATCTATAAGCCATCAAACTGACTAACCAAGCACACAAGCTTTGGCAAAAAAAAAAAAAAAAAAAATAAAGGAAGCTAGCATCATGCCTGCACGCGAAATCCTTGCACATACCAAACTGCAAATACGCCACGCAGGAGTGATGGGACGCTTTTGACAATGTACTTTCATTGCTTATGTCATGTACTTAGGCATACTTAAAAGGACACTAAAGAGACACAATCACTTTGTTTGTATTGACAAACTGCACACTCAGAACTCTAATGCCTTATGTTATCATATGTTATCATAAGGAGAAAAAAAAGATTGAAGTTTCGTTTATGAATTGCACACTAAATTTCTGCGCGCGATGTCCGAAATTTCAAAATGCATTTTTTTTTACTTTCTGAAACTTGGTATCCTTGATCTATGGCCCCTACTGATGACAATGTACTTCATCTTTACTAATTAGAAACTAGTTGGGACACAGTAGACGACTTCAAAATTCATGTCGTCATGATATTTCAATCAGGAATGTAACATCTCCATTCGAATTTAATTTTCGTGCGCTTTCTTGCTTACCAAACATTGTGCCGCTTTAGAGTTCCTTTAAACACACTGTGCCTCTCTTTTGACATTTATTGTAAACAAGGCTCTTGCACCAAGTGTCTAAACGTCAGTAAACTAGGCATTTTCTTACTTGGTGTATTCTTTTGCATTTGCACTTAGAAGCGACACGATTGTATTGTAGTAACAGTGCGACAACGTTAGGAAGAGACGAAATGAAGCGCTTTGACTGTCAACTGAATTTATTGAAGATGCTACGACAACTTTTATACAGAGTGCAAAAAACAGTGCTCATGCGCGATGACACATGTGCGACCGTTAAAAATATTCTTAAGGTGGCACACGGGTCTAGAGAAGGCCAATAATCGCAAAAAAAAATCGACTTTTTGAAACTTACATTTTCGGAATCTGTACCTATTTTTGCACCTATCTAAGAAGTTTCTAGCTTCTCGCGTAATTATTTCTGGTGCAAAATCAATTTATAACACCCCTGTGAGATGAATGTGAGCGCGAATTGACACTGAAATCGCGCTTTTTCCGCACCGAACTGTTGCCGTTTCACACGAGCTATCGTGTTCATCTTGGTCTCGTTTGGAAGGGTCGTTCTTCTTCTTCAATTTCCCGCCACCGCTGGCTCGCCTTGCTCATTGGTTTTATAGCAAAAATGCATCATAGAGAAGCACTAGCGCAGCGATTCAATTGGCTACTTGGGGCACGTGACAAAACCTAGGCATCTGATTGGCCAAGGGGCCCTTTCGGCATCTGCTTCACCATCGTGACGCGCACGGACACGCGCCATTTTGTCATGGTGCTACTGACTGCCTGCGGCAGTAAAGAAGTTTCGTGCTACAGTAATTTGTGAAGCGGGTGTGGCGGTGGTTCGTTCGTTCGCTGTGAACTTCAGAAAGAGCCCCGATATGGCTCAGGACAACGAGGATAACGAACTCGACGCGGTCAACGGTGGTCGCCGAGTTACCAGTGTAGGCCTAACTTATGTACGAGCTTGTTGGTTGCCGACAACGTTACTAAGAACGGCTGTGTTTTGCAGCCTCATCAGTTAGAGGACGGCAAGTAAAAAGCAGAAGTGAAGCTACAAGAGATATCAAACTTTGTAGTGACGGAACGGAAGCGCAGTCTTATCGCAAAACGCGCCGATGCCGCGGTTCCCCCAGCCTGACGAAAGGACCTTGAACTGCGCGGCGGGTCGTCAGAGTGGAGTACACCGCACGTCGACGAACAACAGAAAGTCAATCCGTTCCCGGTGAACATGCTCGCCGCCCCCGCAATAGAGGCTATTGGCAACTGTTAGACTGCTTTTAACGACTTGATCACAACATTGTCGCAATCTCCGCTCTAAAATGTGGCAGTCTTACGTGAAAAGGAAACTAGCACTTCGGCACTCGCGTAGCCTCAAAATTGATGAGCGAGGGAGCAACTTTGGTTCGCGACAATCACGGGTAACTCATTCTGAACAAGCCGGGAAACATCGCCGTGTTATTCGACGTATTGCGGATGACGCACGCGCATTTGTGGCACATAGCCATCAGTACAGTCACCGAACTGATACACGGCCTTGCGGCAGACGAGCACACAGCGACAACTTGCTACAGGACTAGAAGAAATGACGGGCTCGTGCAAACAATCAGTCCTAGTACATTCCCGGTGCATATTAACTGACTAAAAGTATGTGTGCCAAGATATTTTTCCCTCGGATCGACGAAATAAAGTTTTAACAGCATTATTCTTGAAGCCCAGATTTTGACCACTTTCTTTCGCTTGTTCGGTAAAAGTGGACTTAGGACAGCTAGAGCTGTAATTGTTTTTGCACAATGTAGCTAAATGCGCACAAAAACAATGCTGGAAGCCTATTTTTAATAGGCAGCTTCATTTCTTTTTCATTTTAATATAAAAATTTCTGTATTCGGTTACATGCAACGAACTTTAGTGTGCTGTAATTCGAGAAGTACTCGTTCAATTTTCGATCAGCTTGCAGTGTTGCACTCCTTAGGCTTTCTAGCATTCATTTATATGTCAATGGCCATGCAATTCTAAGTACATACATTTTTACAGTTAAAAATGTTAAAATTCTTTGTTTTCTTCATTTTCTCAATATGGCAATTTTGCACACCCTGCATGAAAATTACTGCAATATATCGGAAACTATTACAGATAGCAGAATGTGTTTTTTCCTTTTTTGCAGCATGAAGTTATATGTTTGGAGCACACAACATAGGAAGCAGATTTTAATTTCTCTTGATGCAAGTATTTAAACTAGTCTTTTGTGTGACCACAAAATGGCCACATTCAGAGCTATGAAGTTTAGTGTACTGTAAAGTAATTATTAATGACCCAATCAAAAAAAGTGCTTCCTATGTTGTATGTCTTATGCTTTCTACTGTCAATACCTATGTCATTTATAAATTTTTGATGGGTGGTTATTTTTCCATTGTGGTAAGAACAATAGAAATCGTTATCTTGATTATTTAATTAACTAATTAAGCTACAGAAAAAATCACTACATTTTTATAATCAGGAGAAGAAACTAAGTAAACATGCCAGATTTTGTCACATTTGGTTCATAAAATTAATGAGAGAGTCCTAAGACCCATGTCCCCCCTTAAATCAGAAAAAGTACTCTTCTCTAGGAAAAGTGTACTGATGCTTTGCCAATAAAAAATGCTTCCATAATGGTATCTGTTTCAAACTTTTTTCAAAAACCGGATTTTATGAAATGAAGGACTGCACTTACATTCTTAGTACAATACAACCACGATGAAGCAACTTGCCAGAATTAAGCTTTCGTTCAGAAGTCTTGCGCGGCCTCCTGGCTGCTCACTGTAGTCAGCCAAAGGAGCGAGTCTTTAAAATTTGAGCAATGGTAATGCTTATTTTGGTAATGGTTGCACAGACAGACTTCAGTTTGCATGACCAAGCCAGGTTTTTCAGAAATTTTCAGACTTTTTCAGGTTGGTAGACATCCTGACTGTGTGTACTTTAGCTTTTGCTTTCCTGTAGACAAGTTGACCTAGTAAAGATCTTTCTATTAAACAGCATGACTGATGTCTTTTTCACGATAATGACATTAGCACTTTTAACACACACTTTGTATAGTGATTGTGAGCAAGCCATGTCTTCCGACACCTCGTTACATAAAAAGGAGCCTGAACAGTTTCAAAGATCTTGAACTCCAGAGCCAACAGAAACGTCCTTGCTTCCCTTTTCTATGTGCCTAATAGTAAATGCAAGAAATGCATGAAGTTGGCAAACTTGAACTTCTTGAAACTTTGTATCACTAACACCCCTTCATCTCAAATGTGCACTTTTACGAGAACTCTGATGAAGTTACATGAAAGGGTAACTACAAGTCAGAAAGTACCACACTGTAGCTGATCCTGCACTAAAAGCTGTTGGGGTACATTCTGTATGCAACTGCGAAAATCAATTTTGCTACAAGGTGTGTCATGCTCTGTGTTCCTCCTATTTAATAATACCAAAGCACTCACCCCAGGGCTGCCGCCAATGTTCCGTGGGCGACCTCTCCTCCTGGGGGATTCCTCTGGGCTGCCCTCCAAGCTACTGTGCTCTGTTGGCTTTTCATTGAGTGTGTGACCTGCCTCCTCCTTGGGTTTGTCAAGATGTGGCCCAGCAGGCTCACTACTACTTAATGGAACCTGCTCTTCCAAGACCTGCTCTGAAGGATGCTCTTCTCTCTGCAGACCAATAACAGGAAGCCGGAGCTGCTGTGGCAACGTGGTCGGCTTGAACCGCAGTTGGAACCGCTTTGGCCGCTGGCGCTTCACTGCTGGCCGGCCCACAGTCCTTGACCAAGGTTTCAGAAGTGGGCGCAACGAAGATCCCAGTTTTAATTCAAATGTAAATTGACGCCTGTGCTCGAGTCTGCGGCAGGTGACATTGCAAGCCAGCCTTTTCAGCTGTTGCACTCCATGCGAGACAACCAACTGCACAGGGATTTGGGAACACAAGGAGGCCGCCACGCGACGGCCTCCACTAACCACTAAAAAATGACCGGCTACATTATCCTGTGACTCGCCACTTCCAGTCATGTCTACGCTTCGAACTTCTTCTTCAGGCACTGACTCTACGATGTGCAAAGCTTCACAACTAGATGCAGAGTCACAATCGTCCATAAATGAATCACTGTCATTCCTGCTACATGGGAGGGCCATAGAAACTGGTTCGGCAGTATCTCCATCAGACAGCTTTATTCTCTTAGCTGCTGGCGAGAGAGAGTCCGCAGGCAGCTTTGAGCCAGAAGGCATGGAAGAAAAGCTACGTGCGTCTTGCTCCTCGTGAGGTGTGCTCGATGTCTTGTGACTGGGCACACCTTCATGCGTGGAGGGTAAAGAATACACCTGATGCAATGGTCTGAGCTGACTCTCGGTTGCTCCAGAGCTCTCCTCTGAATGCGGAGCTCTCTGTTGTTGGCCTTGAGAGGCATCAATGGCAGCATCCAAGGAGGGCACCAATACATGCATAGGATGTGGCTGACTAGAAACAATGAAGGTGTTGCCATCTTGAGTGCTCTGCTGCAAACTTCTCTCGACCTCAGCTGCCGCAGAGGACAATGCCACACAACTGCCAACATGCTTGAGCAGCTGCTCACTGTTCACCGAAGACTGCTCGACAAGGCTGGAGCTACCTTCGTTTTGATTAAATGTTCCAGCCTCCAGTAGACATTCATGCTCCACAACGCTTTGCTCATTCTCACACACAGTGTGAGTTTCATCTCTTGTGCCCTCCAGTGCACATGCTGCCTGTTGAGGAACAACCTGTTCTGGTGAACTCTCTGGCCCCTGCAGGTCAGAGCTTCCCTGCGACACAGGCTGGTCTTCATGACCCTCAGGCTCTAGAACCACATTCTGGTTAAAAGGAAGTTCTTGGGAAATACTACATGTGTGGAGGTCCCCAAGTTCCTCACAACAGCTCTGGGGTTCTTGCTCAACTTTTGTAGGAACTTGATGATGCTCTTGAAGATAAGACTCAGCTTCAGCAGTTGGTGCTTCAGGCAAAGTTTCCGAGCTGTCAACAGAGTTACACACTGGGGCACCCTGGCAATGACTTTTCTGCTGTAGATTTTCTGGTGACTTCATTATTTCACCCACAGGCAAGCTGTGCAATACATTATGATCGGGGCCGCATGCTACAGTCACATTACCGTGATCTTGAACCAAGGAAGCTGGACTGTCCTTATCTGGCATTTGAGCAACATTATATGCCTGATGTTGTACTCCTACTGGTTGCTTAGCAGCATTGGGCTTCTCAGCGGTGTCAATGGGATGAAACTGCAAGCCTTGTTCTTTGTCAATGTCTCCTGAAGGTGCCTTTTGAAACTCTTCTCCAGCAGCCAGAGCTCCACTGAGAGCTTGCACTGAGGATTCAGCTGTCGGCACAACTCCTTGTGACGTCTCCTCACTTATTTTTTGAACAATTTCCTGGTCAAGATGTTGCGAAATTTCTTTACTTCCCTCTTGAATGATTTCCTGATCATGAGTTTGAACAATTTCTCCTTTATTTCCTGCGTGAATGACTTCCTGCTCAGCAATTTCAAGAATTTGCTCTTTATTCTCCGATTGAACGATTTCCTGTTCATCTCTAGCCTGAACAATTTCCTGTTCAGAAATCAGAAGGGTTTCTTGCCCCTTTCCTGCTTGCGTGATTTCCTGCATGGAAATATGAACAGTTCTTTGTTCATTTCGTGCTTGAATAATTTCTGGGTCAGGAATTCGCAGAACTTCCTGTTCTTCATTCGTTGCTTGAACAATTTCTTGCTCAGGAAGTTGAGCCGTTTCCTGTTCATTTGCTGTTTGAATGATTTCCTGCTCAGGACTATGAGCAGTCTCCTGTTCATTTGCAGTTTGAACGATTTCCTGCTCGGGAATTTTAAGAATTTCATCTTCATTTGCCGCTTGAACCATTTCCTGCTCAGGAACTTGGAGAGTTTTTTGCTCATTTACAGCTTGAACAATTTCCTGGACAGGAGTTTCAATTATTTTTGTTCTTTTCTTGCTTGAACAATCTCCTGCACAGTAAATTTACAAATTTCCTGCTCATTTCCTCCATGAATAATTTTCTGCTCAGGAATTTGAGCAATTTCGTGCTCGTTTACTACTTGAATTATTTCTGGTTTTGACTGGGTCTTCTCCGCAGAACTATCCCATGGTTGTGCTGAGTCGGCTCTCTGCTCAGTCAGATGCAAAGGCACCACTTGCTCTTCCGGCTGAGGACCCAACAATTTCTGCAGGGTGAACAGCTGGGTCACTGGTTGTTGCAACGATTGCTCCCGTAAAACACCCTTGCTGACTGGAGCGAGCAACTGCTGAGGCTGCGCTATCAGCTGTGGCAGCTCTGAAGCAGGCAGAACGACTGCTTCCTGTGGTGCCTGGTGTGGATGGTCTGCTGTCAAGACAAACTGCTGCACTAGCTGATGCTGCCCTGCAGCTGACTGTGGCATCACTTGTGGAAATTCCTGCTGCTCTGATGGCTGCGGCGATTTCTTCACAGGTGTTTGCACAAGCGACCCTTGATTGTCCCTATCATCCTCTTCATCAGATGATGAGGCACGGCTCGAACAGACTATGCTGACAGCCAGTGGCCTGCCAGGCACTTTAGCTTGTGGGGGTGCCAGCAAACGAGTCCTCTTTAGTATTGCTGGAGGTGCAATTGCACCCACTGGCTCAGGAGGACTTACGTGTGGAAGGGCTAGAGGCAAGTCATCTGTCTGGCACGAACAGTCCACACGCCTGCCGAAGAAACGGTCCACTTCAGCAGGCTGCAAGCAGAAAACCAACAACATCAGACAATGCAATCATGGGCAAACACACTTCCTCTAATGTCCTGAAAGGAAAATAAGGAATTATGAGCATGACTATATTCGTTGCAACTATCATGCTTACGAAAAGAATGCATCAATGACAGATTATTTACAAATAGCCATATCAGACTACAAATACTCAGAGGGCCATCCGTTTGCTATACTTTATTGTCATCATCTTTTTTATTGCAATACAAAGTGTGCAAGCTTGCACTGTTTATCTAGAAATTGAGGCATCATGATAGTCAGCCTGACTATACCCACTGCAGAACAAAGGCCTTTTTCTTGTACAGCCAGTCAACTCATTCTTGTGCTTGCTGCTGCCAATTTATCCAATTTATACCCACAAACTTCCTAATCTCATCTGCCCATCTAATTTTCCAACTCCCCTCACTCGCTTGCCTTCTCTAGTAATCCAGTCAGTTACTCTCAAAGGGGCGCTGCAACACTTATTGAGCATGGTCAGAAAACACTGCAGATTAGCAGTAGAGGCCCCCAAGAACACGCGAGCTAAATATTATAGCACAGCACACGACCTTAAATTCACAATAAATTAACAGTCAGCTACAAATTCCTCTCTTTTCTCACAACATGACAGAGGAAACTCAAAAATCTTGTTGTTCGAGGTATAGTGCGTCCAGGACGGGACAGAGAAGAAGACAGAGAACACATACACTTCTTCTCTGTCCCGTTCTGGATGCACTATACCTCAAACAACATGAATAACCAACAAGCCCGCCATGCAACCTTAGTCAAAAATCACACTTAGAAAGTCATCTATCAAACGTTAGCTGATTTGAACATGGTCGTTACAAGAATTGTCGCAGGAGGGCGCGACTTGTCCACATGTGCGCGCACTATCACACTCAAAAAGCCCCGTGTTCAAAAAAAATAAAAATAAATGCTCAGGGTCATGAGGCGCGCGTGACATATATTCATTGCCCCTGACATCCCTCCCTGCTTCGCTTCTAGCACTTTCGGCTGGACGAGAGAAGGGAGAATGCGATTGCAGCTTGTGACAAATCTTTGTAACTCTGCTCATACAGTACACATTCTTAGTATTTTTGCGGTGTTGCATTCATGAGGCAATGAGCTCTTTTAGTAAAGCCATTTCATGGTTACTTCAAAAAATGTTTCAGGGCCCCTTTAATGACTAGCGGTTATCCTGCCAAGGCCACTATGTGCACGGCAGTAAAGAATTTTAAATTTTTTTATATCTATCATGTCTCTTCGCCATGTAGGAATGCCCACAAAACTAGTTGCACAATGGAATAATTCTTGTGCAGACGAAAGTCACAAACTCAAAGTACATGCAGTTTTCGCAGCGTGGGATGTTACTTCAACTGAGAAGCTGATACTGACATAATAAACAGCAAGATCTAATTGATAAACTGGAACAAATACAATAACTGGCGGTTCAGTTTGCCTTTTCTTATTATTCAAGAAGGAGCAGCATTAGCCATTTAATTCAGAAAGCTAACCTACAGATGCTAGGTCATCGCAGACCAGTATCGAGGTTAAAGTTCTCTATCATCTCTATCATGGCCAATTAAAAATAAATCACTCTAGATGCTTACATTGTTCGACGAGACATTCTTTTCAAACGAGTCAGAGTAACATGTTGAGACAATCTATAAGCCACATAAAATCGCACAAGCGTTATTTATTTCCAGCTGCCATAGACTGTTTGAATAAATTACCTGAAAATGCGGTGTCTCCTGCCTCAGCAGATACGTTTGTTAGTATTATTAATAATATAAACTTTGGTGTGTAAAGTGTTCGCAATCAAATACCGTACAATTTACTTTGAATCCTTTCGAACTTAGGCGTAAACAGAAAGCAATGCTGTATGTTTAACGCTTTTTGTATTTCTATTTTTTAACTGACCATGTTTCCACTTATGCCACTCATTCACATGTACTTTTTTGTCACCACTCCTGCTTGGACCCGAATGTGGCCTGCAGTATGTATAAATAAAATAAAAAAAGAGCTCATTTCATTCTACAGTAGCCGCTGACGAGCATGAATGACAAACTTCTAAAATTTATATCCTGTAATTTGTATACTTTGCTATCTCCAATACAGTCAAACCTCGCTACAACAAACTGATGGGGTGGGAAAAAAAACTTTATATAGGTGAAGTTTTTTCAATGGGACAAACGTACTTCGGAAGAGATGAGACACAACTTAGCAGTTGTCTTAGCTTTATCTTCAACGGTTTCGACCGATAAAGTGGTCTTCGTCAGGGTTTGCAGCTGCAAATAAGTATATATATGCAGTCAAACCCTTTTGTAAGAGACAATTGGGTATAAGAGACACCAGTGTGCCTGCAATGAAATACGGGTTGATGGAAAAGTGCAGTCGAAATACCCTGCTTATAAGAGACATGTCATATAAAAGACAAAAATTGCTGCCCGGAGCATGCATCTTATAAAGGGGTTCAACGATATATATACAGTCGAGCCGGCTTATAACGAACCTGAGCCTGACGCGGCATCTGTTCGCTGTATGCTGAAGTTCGTAGTAAATGAAACACAGCTTTTAAAAAAGTTTGTGATGCACGTGTTTCGAAGAGCAGAAGCGATAAGGGCGGTCTCTAGTTTATTTCAAACAGCACCATGCTTGTTCGCTAAGGCCCGCGGCATAAGCTGCATGAAGGACTGGCTTCAAAGTTTTGTCGTTCTCGCAATTCAGTTCCTTCAAATTGCTGTTGCCACGTACTTCATTCACAATGCCTTAATCGGTGCACGGTTCCGCGGTGTTGGCATCATCATCGGCCGTAACTAAACTATCACAACAGATGTTCCACCCGCTCTACCACGTCGGAGTTGACGGCACGCTGCCACAAATCGTCGTTGAAGTGGTCCTGTTCGGAAGCATCATAGGGCCCGACGTCGACAAAGTCAGCCTCGCGAAAACAGTTTCGCGTGCATGTAGCCGTCACCGCCGCCCATGAAATATTCACCACCTCCACAACCGAATATCAGGACACCCAAAGCGGCAAGCTGGCTGCCAGGTGGTCAAGAGCTATGAGCAAGCGCTCTGCAACGCAGCACCTAACGTGCAGATTACGCTCCAAGCCAAGCGGTCAAACTTTTGACATTTTGTTGAGCAGCAGAAAAAAGTGTGCAAGTCCTTCTGCCTGCAATCCTGATCACAGGCGCACACGCGAAACACATGTCAGAACACACAGAACAGCTCTGGGCCCGTTTATAGTCAGAAATCGGAACTAACTCGAGCCAGCGTGGCTGGCGTTGCGGAGCGGTGGAGACGGGTGAAGGGGTTGTGATGAAGAGAGGAGAGCAGATTTGCGAGTAAAGAAGAGCAAGGAGTTGCCATAGAGTGAAGAGATGGGAGGACACGGCGGGAGAGTGACCTTGAAAACCAAAACACGTGGGAAGGAGGTAGGTCAGGTAGGTTGCTTGAAAAATACATGAACTGCGCAATTCGAGCGTAGAAAAACTTGAAACGAGTGCCTCCGCGCGCAGAAGTCAAAGCACGGCTGCCTACATCGGCGTGCGGCGGTGTTAAAAGAATCGGCGGTCGTGATCGAAAAATTGCTTTGTTGCGCCGGCGGGTTTGTATGACCTCACCGACTTCGACATTTCGCGATTTGTTCCACGCAAATGAACATTTTCACGCTTCTGCACACGTGCGGAAGATATGCTGAGCCGAGTGCGAAGTGAAAGAGAACAGGTCCTAAACACAAAATGAATCGCGAATTATCACGATCGGAGGGGTAGCATAGGCGCTTGCACTAGAAGCAGACGATCGGATACAGTCGGTGGTCGACGATGTTGGCAAATGGTCTGGTCACTCCAGGCCGGCGACGCCAACGACAGTACCAGCGATCAAAAACAGAGGAGATGGCCGACCAGTTTTTGAAAGATCAGTGGCAATGTGAAAACACTGGCCTCGTCTGGCAATGTGGGGTGCTCGGAGTAGCGAGGGGACAAAGTACAGAGGAGTGCGTAACAGAAAGCGGTCGGGGAGAGCGGCAACTAGAGGGGTACAGAGGCAGGGTCGGCGTTTAACAATAAGAATGTATGGGCACCTCTTTGATGCCTGATCGGTGGTCGAAAATGGTTTCCCGGGAAGTCGGCTCTATTGTTTGTTTTAAGCGAAAGTTTGTTTTAAGTGAGACTCTTATATGTGGGCTCGACTGTACATATATATATATTTTAATAAATATGGAGAAGAAACACA